GGGATGTTGAAATCCCCAAGGATGATAGTGGGTAGCTCACAGGAGAGGAAGAAGGGTAGCCAGGAGGAGAAGTCTTCCAGGAAGCGGGGTATGGATCCAGGAGGCCGGTATATCACAGCAATCTTCAGGGGGGTTGGGAGAATAGTCGGACGCAGTGGGCCTCGAAGGAGGAGAAGGATAGGGAGGGGGGGTTTGGGAGGACTCGGAAGGTGCTCAGCGGTGACAGGAGCAGGCCAACCCCACCACCTTTACGACCGATGGGCCTGGGTGAGTGGGTCCAGGTGAGACCTCCGTAGGAGAGTGCAGCAGGGGAGGTAGAGTCAGTGGGCTGGATCCAGGTTTCCGTAATCGCCAGGAGGTTGAGGGGAGTGGGAAACAAAGAGGTCGGGATGGCGGTAAGCTTGTTGCACACCGATCGGGCGTTCAGGAGTGCACATGAAAATGGGGGGAGATTTTAGGGAGCAGGGGGACAGATACTAAGGTGCGGGGGTTGCGGCAGGACGTGGAGGTGGGAGGGTTTTGTGCGGGTGAGGGAGGTGGTGGAGGGCCAGGATTCGGGGAGATGTCCCCCGCGGTTTATGAGGAGAAGGGTGAGAAAGGTGGCATGGGAGCGGGATGTGCAGGAGCGTGAGAAACTACTAGTGGAGGTGTTGGGTCAGTGGGAGAGTGGAGTAATAGGAGGAGGTGTGGTGGGTGCCGTAGAGGGGCGAAGGAAGCAGTGAGGACACAATATACAAATGTTTGGGAGGAGCAGCAGAGGGATATAGTGAATGGATTTTGGGAACAGAGGAGAGGAAAATGAGGAGGATTGGAAGAGGCATTTTGGGGAGGTGATGGAAAAGCAATAGTAGGGAGATGATAGCAATGAGGGGTAGATGTACAAGTTTTTGGGGGTGGAGCAGAGGGGTAAAGAAATGAGATTTGGGAACAGAGGATAGTAATATGAAGAGGAGAAGAGGGGTGTATTATATAAAAGGTACATGGAGTGGGACTCAGGTATGTAAAAGATGTTTCCTTGCAGTCTGTCCAGCATGCAGTAGAGTTTCTTGCTGTTGTTGTGTCTTCCTGCTGCTTAAGTTCTCCTGCTTTAGTTCAACTGCTGCTGAGTACAACACCTACTTTATTTCTGGGCTCTGAGGAAGAGGCAAGTCCTCGAAAAGCGTCAACCTATTGGATGTCTAAATAATTACCGCGCTCTAATATCATCAAAAAAAAGTGTAAATCAAAAAAGTGCAAAGTGCTTGTAAATAAATAAAATAAAAAATATATAAGTAATATTTGATATACCGTAACTCATTAAATAAATAAAATTAAACTTGTGAAAAATAAATTCATAACATATTAGCATGTCACTATATATGCAATCCTTATAACAATGTGCAAATCTTCCATTGGTGAACCTCAAAAAAATTCATCATATAAAGATGCAATAATTTGATAAAATAAGAAATAAATACATTTAAAAATGAAAATTAAATAATAAAAAAAGTCTAATGTGAAAAAACGACAATAATGTCCCAATGTGCAAAGATGAATATCCAGCCTAGATAGATATACTCTCCTTCAGTATGAAGATATGGTCTTTGCAGTGATGCTGAAAACCTGTGTGACTGCAGGACTGTGAGGGATACTCCCTCCTTTGATCCACTCCTTAGTCCTCTGCCTTTGTATTCTTCGTATGTCTCATGCAAAAAAGAGATAAAAGATATGGTGTCTTATCCCAGGGGTAAAACAGCTTTTAATGTGCTTCCATATTGCACTCACATTTAAAATAATACATTTGCACTTTGTATATGTATAAGATCCCACAGCTTGCAGCTGAATCAGAACGAAGGGTGTGTGTCCACACACCTTCAGTACTCGCCGTATCGTAGATAGAATGCGCAATGACGTCACTGCCCCTCCCCAAAATTAAAATTGAAGAAAAGTGAAAAATAGAAATAAAAACAAGTTTAATTTTATTTATTTAATGAGTCATGGTATATCAAATATTACTTATATATTTTTTATTTTATTTTTTATTTACAAGCACTTTGCACTTTTTTGATTTACACTTTTTTGATGATATTAGAGCGCGGTAATTATTTAAACTTTTTTTTTATAAACGCACATCACACGAGAGTGGGCATAATAACCAGCGATCTAGTACACATATTTTTATAATATACCTTGGTGGCTCGCAAGTTTATTTCTTTGTATTAACCTATTGGATGTCTACACTCCCTATTGCGGACTGTTACTCAGCACGGTGTTGACCCAGCTGTTCTTTTATGACGTTCCTTGACTTTATTGTCGTTTGTGAGTACAACACCTACTTTATTTCTTATTAAACATTTTTTATGGTACTGCATTAGGCCTGTGTGCCCTCTGTTTGTTCTTTCCTCATTCAGTATATTTGGATTTCCCCGGTCTGTTGAGGGCAGCAAGGTGTGCAAGTTCCAGGACATTCTTAATGGGGTTGTAGCCTGCATCGAGTCCATCCCCAAGTGCAGGAGAATTTGTGTTAGCCGTTTGAATGTGGCAGGAGCCCCTGATAGTCCTTAAGGCATCCTACTGAACTTTAAGAACCCTAATGGGCAGATGAATGACGTCTTTTCTCAATCATCCGGATGCATGGGAATCTGATAGTACCCACTTTTCAGATCTAGGATACTGAACCATTTCACTCCTGACAGACATTGAAGGGTATCTTCAGTTCAAGGAATGGTGTACTGATTGGGAATGGTTCTTCTGTTCAGAGTTCTGTAGTCAATATACATCCGCAGGGTCCCATTTTTCTTCCCTACTACTACTGCTGGATAAGGACTCCTGGTTTCCCGAACAACTCCTGACTTCTTCAGCTCAGCAAGTTGTTCTGTGAGGTATTCTAGGTCAGCCAAAGATATTCGCCTTGCTCTCTCTCTAAATGGCCTGTCTTCTTGCATCCACTATGGTGAGCCCTTTTTGCACATCCCACATCAAATTAATTAATGGAAAACATATTTTCCCACCTTAACAACTGATCCTTGACTTTTTTCTCCTACGTAGGATATAGTGGGGTATGCAAGGAAGAAAACTCCCCTTCTGAGTTTTCTCTGGACTGCCCCTACACCAAATCAGTAGGTGTTACGAAAGTAGCTGAACTCTCTTGTCCAATCAACATTCCGGGCTTTAACCTGATAGGGGACTTCCAGAGACTAACTGGCACCATCCCTCCATCCCAGGAAAGGGCTATTGTGGGTACTATTTCAGGGACCATCTCCACTCCCCACTCTCCTTGTCTCGAATCAGTCTCCAAGACAATGAAGGGTCCCAGCTGATCCCAAATCAACTTGACTGTGGCCTTCATACAGACCATTTCACCAGGCTGCAGCACTCTTTCCCTGGCTCCTAGTCTCCACAATCTTCCCACTCCTTCTGTTGGGGCTGTTCCAAACCACTCGTTAAAAGGCTTGATGCAATTGAGAGTGTATTCCCTTGAGTGTGAGGTCTTCATTCTCAGCTAGCAGAAAAAGCAACATTCTCACTAGGTCAGTCATGGTTCCAATTAACAGAGGGTTTTGTCTCGTCCCTGGCAGTCTGGAACATACAACTGCTAACGAATCAAATGGATCAGGCAACTCAGGCTGTGAAAAAATGAATTGTCCCAGAAGTAGTCCAGAGACAGAGAAAGAGAGTGAAAGTCTCAGAGGGCCCACAGCTGTAGTGATTTACAGTCTCAGGATGGGAAAGCAGGATTGCGTAGCAATGGACTATATTGATGCTTTATATGCTATGTTCAGCCAAGTGGATAAACTTCGAGACCTTTTGTATAAGTTTGAGCACACTCATCAGCTGAAGGGTGAGAGACTTTCTGAACACATTACTCGAGTAGATAAAACTCTACATCAGATTATTCTAAAGAAAGGGATCGATCCTTAGGATGCTTATAAAGTTTGCCTGGAGTGGATTCTACAAGGTGCCTGACCTAATCATCCAATTGTGCTGAAACTATTACTCAAGGGATCACAAGCAACTCTCACTTTTCCTGAATTAGTGAGAGAGGTGAGAAGGGAGGAAGCTATATAAGAGGTGAAGAATCAAGAACCGAGAGAACTGCCAAAATCTGCTTCCAAGGAAGAAAAAGTGTTGACTCGGGTGGTACAGGTAGATAAGTATTTCACTGTTGAGGATAGTGACGGGGAGACAGAAGCAGATGAACTCTCAAGCTCGTCCTTCACCAAAACTGTCAGTAAAGCAGCCCCTGCCAAACTGCTGATTTAAGTTGCTCAGGTTTAGAATCAGATACAGCACAGCTTTCTATGGGTAATGGAGACACAAATGAAAATGCAGACAGCCAAACCAGATCAGAGGGGAGCCCATGCTTCAGCCTGTGAAGAGCGGAAGTACTTCCGATGTGGAGAACCTGGACATTTTAGGGCTTAGTGCTGCAGGAAAAAGACTGTGTAAGAACAAACGTCTGAAGTGCTAAGGCCAATACAAAAGCTTCTTCTCACTAAGAAAGGGGGGTAAGGAGAAAGCAGGGAGCATGGCTGGCTCTTTACCACTTCAATTCACTGCTGCCTCTGTTCCTGCCCACCTCACTCGACTTGCTTGCAGCTGACAATGAAGCTGTGTTGAGGATGGTTGGATGTAGAGGTGCTGCCTTCCTCCCATGAATGCTGTGCCTGGGTTAGTAAGCTCCTCCCCCAAACCTTGGACGGTACTCAGCTTCAACAAAGGTCATGCAGGAGAGCTGCCCCTCATGACACTGAGCACAGCTGAGATCGGATTCTTCTACAGACACAACCCCAAACTTAACAGTGTGTTGCTGGCTGTTGCAGCTCTGACCTGTGAAATCCTCAGACAGGCAACACGGCTGCAACAGCCAGCTACACGCTGTGCAGTTTGGGGTTGTGTCTGTAAAAAAATCCGATCTCAGCAGTGTGGGGAGGAACAGCTCTGATGAGTGTCCTGCCAGTAGTCACCACATCCTTGGCCCTGCTTGTGCCTTGCTTTTCCCTGCTACCCCATCCTATGCCCCGATGATCCAATCCTGTGCCCTGCTGATGCTATCCTATGCCCTACTGATGTCATCCTATACCCTGCTGACTCCACCCTCTGTCCTGCTGGGCCCATCCTATGTCCAGCTGACACCATTTTCTGCCCCATTGACCTCATCCTCTGCCTTGTTGACCCTGTGCTATGTCCCGCTGATGACTGTCCATGTCCTGCTGATCCTATACTAAGCCCCACTGACCCCATCCTCTACCCTGATGACCCCTGTCCTCTACCCTGATGACCCCTGTCCTCTACCCTTCTCATCCCTGTCCTCTTCCCCACTGACCCCATCCTTTGCCACGCTGACCATGTCCGGATGACCCCCATCCTTTGGCCCAATGACCCCTGTCCTCTACCCTGCTGACCCCTGTCCTCTACCCTGCTGACTCCTTCCTCTGCCCTGCTGACCCCATCTTCCACCCTGATGGCCCCTCTCGTATGCCCTGCTGACCCCATCCTTTGCACTACTAACCCATGTCCTCTGCCTACTGACCCCTGTCTTCTGCCCTGCTAACCCCTGTTGATGCCTGTTCTCCACCCTACTGGCCCCTGTCATACACTCCCATGCTGACCTCCTATTGTCTGCCCTGCTGGCCTCTGTACATTGCCCTAAAAACTTCGGACCTCCTCTGCCCCGATATTATTTACCGCACCCTCACATCAGACAGGCTGGATCGGGTCCTGGTGCTGAGTCAGATGCACTGCTCTGCCTGCTTTAATTTTGCACTGGTATTTAGCCAGTTATTTGGAACTGCTAATTTAGAAGTGTAGGAATTGGGCTGATCTGATTTGCGAAGGTGCAGAAATTGGGATGATCTGAGGTCTGAAAGTGTAGAAGTTGGGCTGATATGAGGTGTGAAGGTACAAGAATTGTACCTGATTTGCAGTGTGATGCAGCTGACTTGTGATGTGAAGTTGAGGGATTTAGGGTGATCTGAGATGTGAAGCTGCAGGAATTGGGATGATCTGAGGTGTAAATGTGCAGGAATTGTGGCTGATTTAAGATATGAAGGTGTAGAAATTGGGATGATCCGAGGTGTGCAGGTGCAGAAATTGGGATGATCTGAGGGGTGTAAGTGTAGGTACTGAGGCTAGTCTGAGATGTGAAGGTGCAGGAATTGGGGTAATCTGAGGTGTGAAAGTACAGGAATTGGGGTTATCTGAGGTATGAAGGTGCAGGAATTGAGTCTCATCTGAGGTATGAAGGTGTAGAACTCTGTGCCACCTGAAGAGTATTTTCTATCCCATCTTTTGGCATTTGTTCTTGAGGCAGGATTTCTGGGCAGAGTAAAATATGCTCTCCTGTGGTTTTGAGAAAGTCCGTCTCAACCCCTTCTACCATATTGGGAGGAAGGGCTGGAGTCCACCACTATACCCACCACATTTCCTGATTACTCATTTTCTGAGATCTACAGTTATTAGAGAAAGAAAGACAGTGGTGTAACGTAATGAATATACATGGGCAATTATTGACAGCATGTATTTTTGCATTTCATTTTCATTGCATTTTCTTGTACATGTATTAGTTTGATTTTAGGATTTGCTCATTAACAGGACTCTAGACAAAGACTTGTTATAAAAATGCAATTTTCTATTAAAGTAAAATCATTCTGGAAAAAAAAAACTAATTCCATCAAAATACATGCCCTTTCAAATTTTTGAAAATATGCAGGTTTGTAGTGACACTATCTTTCTTGATCTTGTGAACATAACTAAGCACTGCACATTGGGATTTAGATCAGTATGTACACTCATGTACACTGCAGCTCAAAGAAGCTGCTCATACAGGCGTTTGAGCTGTTTTGAGCTTTTACTTTTTTCTGCCTCTTAACTCTCCTCCATGTGCCCATGCACACTTTAGAAGTTATCAGGCATATAAGCTTACAGGCATAAATAAAATCCAGGCTCTTTGGGTTTTTCTTTCTGCCTGTAAACGTATATGCCTGTAAATTCCTGGAAATGGTTATAGTGTGCATGGACACATAAGCTGACATGGAGGAGAATTAACAGGCAGAGAAAAGTAAAAGTTTGAAACAGTTCAAATTTGTGTAGGAGCAGCTTCTTTGAACTGCAGTAGGCATGAGGCCTTAAGGAACAATAACAGTCCACACCATCATGTGCAGCTGATCTGAAAATGTGACAATAACTAATTTCAAATTAATGACTTTTATATTTTGCTTTTCACAGGTTGGCAGCAGACGAGTAGTCCAGTATGGTGCTGGAATTATGTTTATTTTAGGAACAATTGGAAAGTTTACTGCCTTGTTTGCATCGATTCCAGATCCCATCCTTGGTGGAATGTTTTGTGCTTTATTTGGTAAGAAAAAGGCACAATTAAATGTATTATTAGTGTTATTACCTGTTTTTTTTTCAGATGTTATTTTATTTTTTTCCATAACACATATAAAATGAGAAAACACAACTAAAAACAAGCAATTTCGCTATTATGACAAAAGCGTCATCAGTTCATCGGTTCATTGTCAACAAGTATTCCAAACGTTCCAAGAATTCTAAAGTAATAAACAAAAATAAAACAAAGGCATATTATTCTATTATTCTTACTATTATATTAATATTATTCTATTATTTTATTACGGTATTATTATTCCAGGGCAACTGATACACTGTATCATCAACAGTATATAAAATAATTTTTCAAGATATGCCAACCCACTTCACATATACTCCCACTTTTTATTGTAGACTTAAACTAGAGCATGGAGCGTCTATCTATTTTCTCCATATTTTTTCAAACTTCCAAAAGGCATTTCATTGAGCATTAGTATATTTCTTGAACACTACGTATTTATCCATTTCCCGAATCCAGTCACCAAGGGTTGGGTGAGATTCAAGGAGAATCTATTAACCTGTGGCCCATAAAAGTAATTTCCTGGTATTTAAACAACAGTGATAAATATACAGTAAACAGGTCCCCAATAGCATCAGTCACAGTTCATATAAAACTCACCTATAACATATGATAAATGTGATTACAAACATGCACATAATGTTCCTCAACAATATATAAGGTAAGGATTAAATAATAAGGGAATGGTAAGGATAAAACCAAAAGAATTAGAAACTTCAACAGTAACCAGTTCTTCATTACTTCATAACTTTGGTAAATCTACACTCAAAATATGCATTTAGGAATAAGCTGAAGATCACTGCCAATGTTTTGGCAAACTTGTTGTATTTATTATTTTTTGTTGCCAACATCCTTTCCGTGGAACAGTGATAGTTAAGGTCTTGCTTTACCCTCCCTTTTTCTATGGGGTAGATCAGCCTTTTTCAAAAAGGGGGCCACCATAGGTTGCCAGGTGTGCCGCTGCTGTCCGATCCCCAGCCGAACTGTAAATCAGCAGTGGAGAGCTTGGTCAGGCTGATTTCACATACGAAAGTGAAAGGGAAAGGGAGAGCTGTCTTGCGAGTATGTGCTCTGCTTTCTGTCTCCCCCTACAGTGGAGTACCCGGCAGTTAGAAGGTACAGTACTGCTGATTTTATTTATATATATTATATATATATATATTTATTTATATTTATGTAACAGTGCATGGCCCTGTCACAGGATCAAAACAGAAAACAGGTAGAAGTGGTCTGGTAATGGACACAGAGTGTAGATTGTGAGTGGAGAAAACTGCTGATGCAGGTTTCTCCTGATTTTGATATTTCTGGATGGGGCTCCGTAGCTTGGAGATTTCAAAGTGCCTTGGGAGGAAAGAAATCTCCAATCCGATGTCCAGAGTTTGAAGTCAACCAGCAGGGTTTGGGCCCAGGTGCTCACAGCCCATATAATGATGGTTTGAAGAGCGTTGCAAGGGAGGAGTGCAGTGGCTGTCATTGAGTGTCTAGGTGTGAGACAGAAGATGTGTGCATTGAAGAGCTCAAAGCTGTGTGCGTTGAAGGGCTCAAAGCTGGGTGCATCAAAAGAGCTCAATGCTGTGTGCGTTAAAGGAGTCCAACGCTGTGTGCTGGGACTAGCCAGTGGTCTGGAAGACCCATATTAGCAGAGGTACTGCTAACCAGCAGGGCTGATGTGGAGTAGCCAGGAGGCTTGGTAACTTTTCAATTGTCTTTACCATTGAAGAAGAACCCCTGCGTGGGAAAGCTGTTTTCAGGGCTTGGTTTTATTAAAAGGCACTTTTATTAAGAAGGCAAGAAACAAAATCTCAAAAGTCCAAAATAAGCTTTCCCAAACAGGGGTTCTTCCCAATGGTAAAGACAAATTAAAAGTTACCAATCCTCCTGGCTACTCCTTATCAGCCCTGCTGGTTAGCAGTACCTCTGCTAATATGGGTCTTCTAGACCACTGGCTAGTCCCAGCCCCAGGGGCGTATTTGCCGCGAGGCAAACAAGGCATTTCCCTAGGGCGGTACTTTTTAGGGGGGCGGTGCGGTGCCCCCCCTTCCAACAGAAGCGACACTAAGTACAGGGGCGGGCAGGGGGCTGCTGTGTCTTACCTGGCTCCAGTCCCAGTCCCACGACGATTCAGTCCAGGAAGCGCTGCTCCTTCATTCACTCCGGCTGTTCCCTCACTCGATGTTCGCGCTGCCGCTCGGCTCCACCTCCTCACCGGTGATTGGGCACCAGAACTGTAGCTCAGGAAAGGCACACAGGCGGCCAATCACCTGCAAGGAGGCGGAGCCGAGTGGCCCCGCAAACATCGAGTGAGGGAGCGCCCGGAGTGAATGAAGCAGGACAGCTGACCGCCCGGTAAGTGTGCTGTGCTCATGGTGCTGCTGCAACCAGGTATGCTGCCTGCAGCAGCACCTAGGCTGGAGCAGGGGTCAGCAAGTTAAGTGTCATTGGTGTCAGTGGGAGGAATAGTGCCCCATCATTGGTGTCACTGATACTAATGATGGGGCATTATTCCTCCCACTGACACCAACGATGGGGCACTATTCCTCCCCCCACTGACACCAACAATGGGGCACTATTCCTCCCCCCACTGACACCAACGATGGGGCACTATTCCTCCCCCCACTGACACCAACGATGGGCACTATTCCTCCACCCACTGACACCAACGATGGAACACTATTCTTTCCCCCACTGACACCAATTACTATTCCCCCACTGACACCAATGTTGGGACACAATCCCCCCCCACAGACACCAATGACGGGGCACTATTCCCCCCCACTGACTCCAATGACGGGGCACTATTCCTCCCACTAACACCAATGACGGGGCACTATTCTTCCCACTGACACCAATGATGGGGCACGATTCTTCCCACTGACACCAATGATGGGGCACTATTCCTCCCACTGACACCAATGATGGGGCACGATTCTTCCCACTGACACCAATGATGGGGCACGATTCTTCCCACTGACACCAATGATGGGGCACAATTCCTCCCACTGACACCAATGATGGGGCACGATTCCTCCCACTGACACCAATGATGGGGCACGATTCTTCCCACTGACACTAATGATGGGGCACTATTCCTCCCACTGACACTAATGATGTGGCACTATTCCTCCCCCCACTGACACCAATGATGGGACACTATTCCTCCCACTGACACCAATGATGGGACACTATTCCTCCCACTGACACCAATGATGGGGCACGATTCTTCCCACTGACACCAATGATGGGGCATTATTCCTCCCAC